ATAATTATAAGGGATTATAGATAAATTATAAAATAACTAAAATAGTTATTAGATAGACCTTAAATTTATAACTTATTAAAATATAAAATATAATATTTAATTATATTAACTAGAGAGTTCTATAAAAGAAAAGAGTAACTAGATATAAATATATTAAGACGTATTACGTAATTATATTATATAATCGCTAAGACGCTAAGAGTTATATGATTCGAATTCTAATAATATTCGCAATTATTAAAAAAATAGATATACGTTATTAACATATAGAATAACGTTTTATTTTCTATTAAAAATTTAGATTTTTTTTTAAATTATAGAACGAAATGTGAGCTTTCAGATAAAAAAAGAATTATGAAATTCGATTTTATAATTATTAAAGCGTAAGGAATTCAAATATCGCTTACTAAAGTTCGCTTACTAAAGATCGCTCATCTATTTACTCGATAGCCCTAATTAAAAAAAAATTATAAATTTAATTCATAGGCCTTTACTCGTTACATTATAAATACTTTATTTTTAATATTAATTTTAAACTTTTTAATTAGAGAATTAAATTATTTAAAATATTAAAAAAAGTCGAAAGTCTTATTTATCGATTAAATCTTTTAAGTATTATATATATCTATTCTATAATATCTATAATCTAATTAAAACCTACTTTAAATTAATCTAAAGATCTTTATTATAAAAAAATATATTCGCTATAGTTAATAGAAGAAGAAAAAGAAAATTAGATAGAGCTAGATCTTATTATTAGATTTCTATTATTTAAAATCGATAAACTAAATAATAGATAAAGAATTAAAAAATATATTAAATATCTAGTATATTAGAAAGATAGTAAAAAGAAGTATAATACTTAATATCTACTATATATTCTCTTAAAAGTATAAAATCTTATAGTAGAATATAATATATATATTTCTATTAACTCTATAAGAAATCGAGAAAAAAAAATTTACTATATAAATATTAGTTAAGAAAGCACTTACTCTATAACTCTATTAACTTCTAAAGCTAACGCTATTAGAAATTAAGCTACTACTAAAAAGTTAGATCGTTCGCGAAAGAAAGTTATCTCTTAAAAGAAGCCTCCGCTATTAGCGAAAAATATATCTTTATCTTCATCTATATTACTACTTACTTCGTTATTAAATTCTTCTACTATTTATTATAATATATAACTTCTCATTTAATAAAACGTCTTTTCGAGAAAAGTCAATCTTATAGAAAACGGGTTTCTTCTATAAAAGTAGAATCTTACTATAAAAAGAAAGAAAGTCCGTGCTTTATTTAAAGAAATAACTTTCTTTACTCGAAATTCTTATCTAACTTACTTAAAGAAATAAGTTTCTTTATATAACTTTCTTTATAATTCTTATCTATAAAAGTAAGATCGTTCTTTATTTAAAGAAATAAGTTTCTTTACTTCTAGCGAGAATATTATCTTTCTTTCTTTTTATTAATATATATTATAAATTATATTTAATAGTAGATAGAAGCTAGTAGCTAATAGCTTAATATAGCTTAATATATTAGATATATTTAGATAATTAGATCTTATAGTAAAAGAATTATCTTATTACTACTTAAGAAACGTCTTTCTTAGAAAGATTTCTAAATATCTTATATTATTATAATAGTACGCTCGATAGTTCTAATTAAAAGAAATAATTATGAATTTAATTTATAGATCTTTACTCGTATTATATAATTAAATATAATATATCTTAACTCGCTTTAAATTATTTTATATAAAAAATAATATAAAAGTTTATATATTAAATTATTAATATAATATATTAATAATTTTAATATTATCTCTCTTATTCGCTATCTCTATCTTCTTAATTAAAAATATATTTAATATATATTATTTAATTAGAATAATTATTTTAAAATAAAAAATATTTATATTATAAAGATTAATAAAAGAGGTTCTTTATAATTATAATTATAATTATTTAATAGATATTAATATATTAAATATATTAAAAATAGTTATAATTATAATAGATAATAGATAAATTATAAAATAATTAAATTATTACTTTATTAAATAAAATTTAAGTTTATAATTTATTAAAATATAAGATAGAATATTTAATTATATTAATTATAGAGTTTTATAGAAGAAAAGAATAACTTAATATAAGCGCGTTAAAGTATACTATATAATTATATTATATGATTATTAAGACACTAAGAGTTACGTAATTCGAATTTTAATATATTTAGCGAGTTTAACTATCTTAACTCGCTTAAGATAAGAGCTAGAGTAACTCTTAGCTTTTTATATTATTAACAAATTATACTCGCTTAAATCTATAACTATTTTAAAAGAAGAAAATATCTCTATTAAAAAGATTAAAGAAATATCTTTATAACTATAGAGGTCTATATCGAAAGTTCTATATATACGCTAAAACTCTTAGTATTCTTAATAAATATTCTTAATATCTTAAATATTAATACTTTATATAATAGCGATATTAATACTTATTATATATAATATATAATAGCGATATTACTATATATATACGAGATATATAATTACGATATTACTATATATATTATAGCGATAGTAGCGATATTAATACTATATATACTTACGCTAATAGAAGAATAGAGAAATAGAGAGAGAATATAAAGAATTTTAATATATATTTAATATATATTTAGTATAGTAAGTAAATATCTTCTTATTAGTCTTTAATTCTAATATATCTAATATTTAAAGTATTAATTATAATAACGAAATTAGACTTTAGATATTTATTTTAATTAAATATAATATTATAACGAAGATCGTTATAACTATTATAAAAGTCTCTTATTAAATTATTAGTCGTCTATAATAATAAGCTCGTAATAGAGAATATAAGTCTATCGTATTTAAAAAGCTATTATTATTATATATATTCGATACTTCTAGATCTAAATAACTCTCTATTATTACGTCTAAGCTTAAGAGTACTATTTTAATTACTATATAAAAGAATCGCTATAGTTATAAAAAAATCTCTTTTATATTAACTACTAAGTAAGAAATCTTCTTAATAATAATTTTATAAGTATTTAAATATAATAACTTTCGATTAATTAAAATTATTAAAAAATCGCCTCTTTCGATAGTTAAATAAAAGCTTATTATTAATTTACTTTACGATATAAAGATTAAATTATAGAGGATTAAAAGAATATAATCTAGATCGATAAGACTAATATAGTCTTAAACTCTCGATGAGAATAAATATAATAATAGTGTTAACTCGATAAGATCTATATTAAATTCGCTATTTAACGTCATTTTATAAGCGCTATAAAGTTTATATTTTAAAAATATTTCTTATATAATAAGAAGAGTTTTTATTATATTTAAAAGGTTAAAATATTAGTTAAAAAGAAGAAATATACTTAGAAACTAGCTACTATTAATAAGATTTTAAAGCTTAAGATTAAATTATAATAAAAACTTTAAATCGATATAAGATATATAGATTTACGTAATCTTTCTAGCGCAAAATCTTAATAAAGATTTATAGTAGAAATTAAAAAAGTTATTATTATAGAAAAGAAAGAAGAAATTAACTAGTATCGCTATTAGAAGAAGATCTATTTATATATATTTCTTTAAATTCTTTAACTTCTTTCGCTAATTAGATATAGATTCTTTTTATATTACTTCTAAAATTTATTTAGAAATATAAAGAGAATAGATTTAATATAGTAGTTATAGAAGATAAAGTCTTAATCTATATCTTAAAGTTTTAGAAATTAATCTTTATATTTATAGATATACTTAGATTACTATAATATAAAAACTTATCGTATTTAAATTATATTAAGTTATATTAATCTTAAATAAAGCGATATACTACTCGAAATAATTTATTAATAACTCGAAAAGAGGCTAAAAAGCGATAGACTTATTGCTAGAAATATAAGTTTTTATAAAAGAGGATTTAGAAGTAAATAGAATATATACTTAGATATATTATCGAAGTTATTTATTTAAAAGACGATAATAAGTATAGAGAAGATCGTTTTAAAGAGAATATATAACTATATAATTTAAATAAGCGAGCTAATAAGTATATACGTAGTTATATAAAGAATTATTAATAAAAAATAAAGCTATTTAAGAAATTTATTAAATTGCCGAAGAATATTAAGAATGCTAAGAGTTTTAGCGTATATATAGAACTTTCGATATAGATCTCTATATTAAGTCTTTATATAATAGATTTTAAATATTATAAAATAAATATTAAAAATTTAAATATAGTTAAAGTTATAGAGATAAATAGTAATTATAATATAATAATTACTAGATAGAGTTTAAATTTATAAATTATAAAAGTATAAGATAAGATACTTAGTTATAAAGTTATTATAACGAAAAGAGCGACTTAATACGAATACGCTAAGGCGTGTCACGTGATTGTCTCACGTGACCGCCAAGAGTCACGTGACCCGAGTTTCACTCTATATTAAGCGCGTGCAGGGTCGGAACCCCTAGTCCCCTGATCCCCTTGTTGTTGAAACGAATAATAACTCTGTGTACTGCTGCATGACTCCACGATCTCCTGCCTCTTATCTTCCAACGTGTCCTTAGCAATCTGGAACACGTCTGGCTCTTACACCACTGCAAGCGAATGTCAATAGGGAGCCAATGCATCTAAAGGAATTCAAGCTCCAAATCTGCTTTCCTGGCTAGTCTCCTAGCTACTCCTATCTAAAGATCTATTGCGGGCCAGGGATATCGATCCCATCGGTCTAGCGATACTGTGCATTTTCAACCGCCTTCCGATTGACTGCATGCTCCGTTGGCTCCAAAGCGCTTTTAGGGGCCAAGGGCGGATGCGAGACCCCCAGCAGAAGTAGGCTCTACTACATATTCCGCGATATTTTGTAACTAAGTCAACCGTAGATTTGCTTCCCAAATCTGATATTTCATTGACGCCTTCGCCCAGCGCACGGCTTCTCTGTCCGACATGGCCTCTGCGCCAAGTACCCAGTCTTTGAAGGTATTTCTGGAATACTATTACTGCCCCATATTCAGACGCTAATAAGGGTTTCTAATATAGTGCGTTGTGACCGGCGACGGGGCTGTAGGAAAGGTAGCTGCTATACCTCAGCATTGGCATGTCCAAAGTCTGCTAATTTCTTCTGTGCAGACTTGTCTTCTCATATCATACACCACCAATGCATTTCCTGGAGAATATATACCTACAGTGTGGGGGCTGTTCCGCGAGCACTGCATTGGGCTCTGGCTGACGCCTGATATAGTTTTGACAATTACTCTGCAAGTGTTATGGTCGATGGCAAGCCTATAAGCTTAGGGCTATGGGACACAGCTGGACAAGAAGACTACGATCGACTTCGGCCACTGTCATATCCACAGACCGACGTTTTCCTGATATGTTTTTCCATCGTGAGCCCACCATCTTTTGACAACGTCAAAGCAAAGTGGTTCCCAGAAATTGAACACCATGCTCCAAACGTACCCATCATATTAGTCGGCACTAAGCTGGATTTGAGGGAGGACAAGGGAACAATGGATGCGCTGCGCTCGAAGCGGATGGAGGCAGTGTCGTATGAACAAGCATTAGCGGTGTCGAAGGAGATCCGGGCACATAAATATCTGGAATGTTCAGCACTGACACAAAGAAACCTGAAGAGCGTATTTGACGAGGCCATCAGGTGGGTTCGCTCCATTGGATTACTACGGTGAATGTCAGGTGCTGAATGTGACTAGAGCTGTCTTGAATCCCCGCCCGATCGGGAAACCTAAGAAAGAGCGGGGAACCAAATGCATGATTTTGTGATCGCCGCAAGACTTCCATCTCTAAGTGAACGAAGCGTCTCTAACAGAACCTGGATTAGACTGTCTTGAACTTCCAAGGTCTTCAGAGCCATTGGAACCCGAGAATGATCTGACGCCTAAGGCCGGGTCGGTTTCCGTGATAGATTTCCCTTTATATTGTCGCAAAGTTTGGGCCTCGCCCGACCCAACAAGGTACGGACGGTTTGGGATAGGCTTATAGTCTTTGAATGTAGATATGACGTTTGGAATCAGATCCAGCTGCAAGGGTTTTGTTCTTCGAATTTCGAACATGGCGCACGGGTGATACTTCATGAGTAGGCCTATCTGCTCGCTCACTCGGAGTCGCAACGCGCGTCACTACCCGCTTGCGTTAAACGTCATACAAGACGGCAGTGAGATCCATTGAACTTCAGGATCAAAGATTAAGCGAGTCTGTGGCTACTCTGCTCCTCCTGCTTGGGTGTATATCGCCGTTGTTGCCCAGCGCATGTGTAGGTTGGGAATCTTTCTGTGGAACCTTTTTTCGTTTCTCCTCTTCTTGATTTCTTCGCTTTCGCTGTTCATTCAGTCTTTCGTTCTTCGCTCGAAGTTTACTTTTCCGGTCCTTGCTTTTACCCCCACCACCGCCGGCCCTGTTAAGTGTCACTCGTAGTCGACTTGGGAACACGTTTCGAGACTCACGTTAGCTCCACATTCAGCTTCCTCGCGGGAGATTCCCCGTCTTCGAAATCGGACTGGTGGTAAAGTTTCAAGCATGTCTTCATTCGATCATACCCTTCAAATTCCAGGAATGCGAAGCCTTTAGACTTTTCTGTACCTTTTTCTTTGCGGTGACGGATTGATTTAGGATTGATCTTCGCAAAATGCTTGCTTACTGACTCATCCGTTGCAGTGTAAGGTAGATTGCCTGGTGTTAGAACAGCGCCGTCAGACGGCTGAGCCAAGCATATTTGAACAGAGTAGACGGACCAATGAAGACGATGAATCTCTGGGCCTTTTGGGTTGCTGATTCTTCTTCTTTCCCCTGGTCCGTGGACTCGTCTACGACCGCAACCTTGCGAGTCGCAATCTTCTCAGCCGTAGGAATTCTTTCTAAAGAAGATGGTGGTGGAGGCGCTTGATTTGACTTCTTCTGTAGTGGCCCGCCGGCTGATGTGCCTTCCAAGCCCGATTTGACGCCCGCATCAAGTAAAGATTCGCTGTGCTGGCCTTCGAACTTCCTCTTTCGAGCTTCTTTTCGCTTCAAGTCTGATCCCATTGTAGCTCACAGTGACGCTCGGGAGGCTACGGCCTGAGATCGTAAGCAATCCTGAGTTGCGCTGCGGATGCGAAAGCTTATCTTTTAAAGGGGAACGGGGCAATTTCATGCCTGTCTACCGCCATTGGTTGAGTTTCCCTCGTTCGTGAATGTAATTGATATCTCGGCAGACCTTCCCTGCCAGCGGATCGTCGCTAGCCACATTTACAATATAAGCTGCAAAGACAACAGCCGATAACCTACATGAACAGCGATGATCGTTCCGTTGTTGCTGTTCTGTACCTTGCGCTTCGAATACTTGCAGAGTCCTTATGAATGGGGCACAGAATCTTTAGGAGCTCCGCTGTCTAATGGCGCTGTTGAAGCAAAAGCTTGGTCGTTGGCATTGACCTTCGTCTATGAAAGCAAGATTGCGAACAAATGGAGAGTACGACGGGTGCTGATTTATATGACTAGTTGTATTGTAGGAAACCATTGGGATTGGACTATCAGCATTGCGTATTCATCCAGGTCACATGCTGTCCAGGTACAGCTCATGCTCATAATCAAACGTCATCAGTCTACGCATTTAAAAAAGGGTGACAACGACGTCCAGTACATAAATAGTTCTTGTAGTCAGACACCACCAATCAATTGTATTAGTCGAGCTCTAAAATCTACCGACTTGGCGGACAGAAGGCTGACCTGCTTGTCATACATGTACAGAGAAGCGAATGTTTAAGGTAATGCAAGTCTGAGCGCGCAAATGCTCATAGAATGTTAAACTAGGATGCGAAGTGAAAGCCGACGGCGAGCAACCCAAGTGACTTCTCCTAGCCAAGCAGTGCAAATGATACCTGCCTCAACAATGCTGGTATCAGATGTGCGATAAAAGGTCTGTGTCCACTGCAATATGTCTAAGATACCGCGAAGGACCTAATTGTTGGCGCTCACGTTGTCGTATGTTGAGTTTGGCCTTGTCCGTGCACTGGAATTTGTCCTGTTTGGGCCACCCTAGGAAGCCTTTGTTGAGGGGGCTAACACGCTGGTGCTATTCATGTTGGCAGCGCTTAAAGGTGTAGAAGTAGCCACTGGCAGTGACATCGGCAAGTCATGCGTGTGGGTGGGAAGGTGGCTGACGCTGCGTGTCGGACGAGCATTGACATGTGCCGAAGCATCGACAGAGCGACGAGCCACAGAGTGGATGGCTGATGCTGAGAGATGACCTGATGCATAGCCAATGCTTGGGCTTCCGCGCTTGCGTAGACCTTGGTGACGGAGGAGAGGAGGCAAGGCATCGAGGTTATCCATCCCAGAATCAGTGCATACCGAGAGGGTATGGTGAAGGGCGGAGCCGAATTGAGTAGTCTGGCATTGAGAGTAGAGACATTGAAGCACCACCTGGAATCCATCAGTAACGCACTTTAGATGGAAGAAGGCGACATGACTGGAGTACATACGCTCTGAAACTCAGCGTCCTCGCACAAGCATTGGGTCTCATTGGCTTGGACACAGGTGCTGACGTATTTGGAATTTTCCCAACATTTCGACACGCATACTTGTTGGCAGATTAGCGTCGTCCTGGCCAGCACAAACGGGAAAGATAGAATGATTTACCTGGAGACTCTAGGGTCTTGAGGCCGACGACACTGTGTAGCAAGCCAATGCCAAATAGCATTGTTGTCTGCAGCTTCATACTGACGTGGGAGGAAGCTTTGCAGGTGTTTAGATTTACCTGTCAGTGAGGTGATCCGGTGAAGCGAATCGAACTGTAGTGACAGACTGGGATGCGTAGATGTGGCGTTGTCGAATTTATGGAATGAAAGGAAGCAGTCAACAGGACTGATTTTTTGGACGAGTTGAAGAGGGCAGTGGGATGGAGGAGTGAAGGAGGAGAAAGTGTTGCATTGCTCAGGCGCTAGGCATTTTTTCCTTCTGAAATTCCCTACGTTGAGCTGATCAAGTGGGAAGGCAGAACCCGCGTTCGGCAATCGTCACCGTCACCTACCCAACCCAGCAATCGGTTACTCATCGACCACGTTTCCTACGGGATCACGAACAAGAGAATGCCTTAGGAGAGCTTGTGAACGTCATCATAATCTCAACGCGTGGGGCGTCATCAATCACCTGCGTGGTGACCTCGAAATCGGGGTTAATTTTCTTAGGGTCAACATCTTGACTGCCAGTGGGAACATCACACAGAGAATGAGTTTGAAATTTACGACAGCTAATAGAGCAAGAGTCGAACCTTTCCACTACCATTTCCGTAACGATTCTTCAGCTCGGACTGATTCAGCAATGCCATCAAGGGCTGTTGTGTCTCCCGCATATCAAATATCCCCCTTTTTTTCTGGTCAATGTGCGAACAATCAACCACTACCCGTTCCAGACTTGATGATGATAGTGCACCTGCTGAGATCAGGACGGTGGCTCACAGCAAATTGGCGTGTTGTACTGGAAGAAATGGAGTGTAACATACCTGAGTCGAAAAGGTCGATGATTCGAGAAGGAGTACCAACCCCAATTCCCATCCTTGAAGAGATTAGCACCTAGAACTCAGTTGTAGAGGGTGATCGATGTGAGACACCTTGTTTTCCTGACATAATCTACTGCCTCTTTCAGCTTGATATGTTTGGCAAAGAGTTTTGCCACCACAGCGTCTTTTGTCTGAAAGAGGCGTAAGGCTCTGAGACAGCATTGGTAATCAATTTTTGTGCCTTCACAAGTTCTCGGCTCAACGTGTGTGGCCTACCTAGTGATATTCGCAGCACGTAGACCAGAAGATGTGATCACAAGAGTATGTGGGCTTCCCAGTTTTTTTGATGCCGAAGAGAGAGCCATATTTCCTGCTGCTCTCGGATTGTAGTGCTCAAGGAAGCTTGGCATGTCCTGCAAAGTTCTTGGCTTCTCCCATGATGTGGTATCATGGAAGGCTGTCTCTACATTATTTTTTAGCCTTCATCTTGAGCATCAGCTAATGCCACCTTAAGGAATTGTGACCAAACAATACCTGAGATGTATCTGTCCTCGAGCTCCACAAGGCTGAGATCTGGGAAAAAGCGCTTGGTTCGTTTGGCGACGTAGTCCGCTAATAATCGATTGTCCAACTTCGCGATGGCTAGGTTAAGACCTTGGTCTAGATCAAGATTATGATCCTCATCCGCTTTAGTCTTTTTGGATTTCTTGGACTTTTTTTGCTTCGCTGAACTGTCGACAACAGCCTCAAGATCATGGTCTTCGCCGTCGTTGCGTTTCCGCTTTGCGGTGCGAAAGGGCGATTTGAGTCTGATAGTAGTAGCCGGTACCTTGGATTTTGGCAAAGCGCTTAAAGAGGGTTTCGACTTTTCTGACATTATAGAAGAATACAAAATTTGGAGGAGTAGATTTGCAAATTGATGCGGTTTGCATATCGGAGACTCGGAGTTACCTAATCAAAGTGCGTCCTGTGTGGCGTGGCTTCCAAGCGCTTTCTTGGCGTTACATACATCCTCGTCACTTGTTTACGAATTGCCCAAATCGAGACTTGACTTTCACGAGGCAGTCTTCGGTCGTGGAGACTACGTAAATAGGTCTATGCTGTACGAAACAATGTCAAATATCAAAGAGAACATCAGGGTAGATTCTGGAACTGAAGACGAGCTCTCAGCTCCATCCAAGCTATTTTGCGTCACGCCGCGAAACTCCGCTGCCGGACAAGCATGCCCCACTGGACAAGGTCGAACACCATTTGCAAACGTTAGCAATCCCCGGCGAAGTTATGGAAATTATTGCTAACAAGCCCTTCAATCCAGTTGCGACACCTAGCCGGACTAATGCGAAAGCCATCAACGCCTCGGAGACGTGCTTCTAGCGTTGGCGCAACCACATCTCAGGGCAGTGCCGTCGGCGCACTCTCCGCAAAGTCGCGCACGCCAGGTGCTCGCCGGCCACTGCAGGAATTCTTGACGACGAGAAGCAATCCCACAACACCCCACGCAATCAGAGCTTTGCAGCAGCGAAGGGCTACGCCAGGTCGCGATAGACGCAAAAGTAGGCGTATGCAGCGTGAAACACCAAGGGATGCACTTAGAAACCTTAGCAAGAGTTGGTTTCCAGCCCACTGCACTTTGAATCGAGCTGATAGCGAAGGACCTTAGTTCTGGCTTTGAATAGCCAACCATCTTCTCTTCCATCGCACCTTGAACAAAATGAGCGCAGCGTAACTGAAGGCAACAATATCGAAGATGGTCTAGAGCTGCAGCGACCCAGCTTCTCCATCGCGATTGAAGATCGAGCAGATGAAGACGACAATTTTCAGCTGGCGCCTCCACGGCTGTCAATGCAATTAGAAGCGGGAGAACAGACCGGAAGATCAATAGAGATTGGGCGGCGTGCTCTGGATGATCAACCACCGGGAAGGCTCTCCCGAGGCAGCTTTGGTACTGTCCGGGGCAGTAACCTATTCGATGATCCGAGTGCGTTGGGCCTAAACGATGTATCGCAGCCTCTGTTCGAGGGTAGCGTATTGCAAATTGCGCCCGATGCAGACGAGGATGACTTCGGAGTTCTTGGAGGGAAATCGAGCTCCGGGTCAGTAGTCATCTAGAAAGGCTGGGTGAGAGCAATGCTGACCCCGCATAGTGATGAAAGAGAAGGCTTGCGGCGCGCCATGTACAAAGATCACGATCGTCGCGAAGGTCATTCCAACAGAATACAGCAGGCACGGGAGCTCGAGGGCGAAGGAAAGTCTCCCTTCATTCTCAATATCCCAGTGCTTCAGTCCAGACGTTCTTCCGCGGAGGCAAACTTCCCAGACGAGCAACAGCTTGGAGGCCTCGACAAGGAGCCTGAGCAAAGTGTACTCAACGTGAGACCCACCAATTCCATCACGAAGGCTAAAGCCGGAAGGAGAGCGCCGAGACCCATGAAGAAGTCACGCCAGGGGTTTCCGTATCCCAGCTTTCCCGCTGGGGTCACTAAAAATATTGCATCTACTTTCGCTCGATCACTGGGCAGCAAATCGACTATAATAGACAAGGAAACACTTGAGGCCATCACTGAGGCTATTGACCAATACTTCGAACAGCTCAGTATCGATCTTGGTGTCTTCGCTAACCATGCGGGAAGACGGAAAATTGGCGAAAACGATGTCATTGCTGTCATGTTGCGGTACGTCATTCCAACTCTTGGCCCGGCGTAAGACTGTCATGACACACAGCTCCAAAGCTCATCCGTGAGACAGACAGCGGCAAGTGTCTGCCACAACGACGCCCTTCTCGTTGGCCAAGAAGTATCTATCGGGAGAGCTGCTCCAGGGAATACGAATGCCGATCGCCAAAGTAGGCCGACTGAAGAGGCGACACCCGCTTACAGTCATTGATAGAGATGGAGTGGAAGGTGTAGAGTGACAAGGTTCGGTTACTCGCCAGCCGATAATCTTTGAAATCCAATGCTCTAACCGAGACCAAGCTTGGAGTTCCATGGCTTGAAGGCTCTCCTCGTCAAGACCGCCAGCGTCCCATACTCGCATATGAACACAACTCACGTTCCTGTGTTATGGATCCCGCAAAGCTTATCTCGCGCGCAGCATCTGCATTTTCTCGAAGGAGCCCCCAAAATTGATCGATCTAGCAGAGAACGCTCCTTCACACATCCCTAAGAAGAGTCGCTGGGAACACATGATTTGGCTTTCGGCGGATGTCTCGAAGTCGAGGCTTCTACCACTCCTTATTCTGGCGGACTCGCCTGATAGAATCCGACGGTGGCTTTTTCACGACCATCCAGAACATGATGGCTGTAGCAGCCGACAAGGCGTACCTAATCGATTTGGCATCAGTATTCTTTGGACTCGCGAACTTGTGTTTGGCGCATAGCGTGGTTACAGATGATACCCCTGAGCATTGCTTACCAAGTAAAGATATACTGCGTGTGGTTATTTCTCAGGTTCACTTCAGCTGGCCGACCTATTGGAATTCCTACAGCCTCTCTATCATACGCTTTCAGAAGATCCGGTACTGCCAACTTCGTCAGCTATCTGAATTGTGAGCCGCCGTATGAGCCATACCCATGGTTTCTTCTATCCAGACTGGATCGCTTCCAGTAAACTTTGCCATTTGCTCGACATCTGGAAAGTAGAACTCGCCCAGCTCAGGCTTGTTGTCTGGCGTGAACATGTTCTTTTTCCATGGCTCTCTAAGTAACCCCTCCACGGTGACTTCCCCAATGGGTAGACCTGCCTGCCTGTCCACCTGCCGCTTGAACTTCTTGGGAATCCAGCCTCTGTTCACTAGTATTGTCGATGCAATTCCTTCGCGTTGTAATGGCGTTACCACTAGGTATCCATCATTGCCATCGTGCACTCGTGGCCCAATGAGCATCTCCTGATCATGTCGTAGAAGGCCTGTCGTGACAACTCGTCGATAGTCAAAGTCTTTGATGGCAGCTGGGTCTATACGTGGCGGTAAGGGCAGGGGCGGCTTGAGAATACGATCTTCAAATCTCGCTATCAAGTCTGTTTTCCATCGAAGCCTGAAGACCTGCCATGTCCCGAGGCCAAATGCAATGGCTGGGATGAGTACTGTGTGGCGTCAGGTAATAGAACGGGGTACTAGACTGGCCAGGAGGTTTACTGAGCACTATCAGGCCTGGGCCATGCTTTTGGCCACTTCTAACTGGCACAGCCGGGTTGTCAACGATCGATTGGAAGTAAGGGTCATCAGCGGGGGTGTGTGCATATCTCCGCTGGAAGGGCGATGGTTGCTCGCACTTGGGGCATATTCGAGGACGTAGGGCTGTTCGAAGCGATGTCAATCTTGTGGATTTCGAGAAGGGGGAAGCGAACAGTGAGGTTTTCATGGTTGCTGCAGTTTGTAAATATATGACACATTCTGGTGATTGGCCTCGGCATAGAGTAACTACCTGGAATTCGAGCCAAACTTCACTCTGACCACCCGGCGCTGGGCTCATGAAGATCGTCACACTTCCTCTGTTTCAACCTGTCAGTCCTACATTTGCGGTCTCCCAAGGACTACTAATACGATGATGTTCTTCGACGGAGATCTGCAGTCAGGCATCGCTCTAGCTTTGAGCGAATCCAAGTCCGTGGCTTGCTTTGTCAAGGGTGTGTCTCTCTACACTCTGCTTGAAATTGGCCTCCGACTGACTGGAGCAAGGTGATGATGAGCAAAGCTCCCTATGGGAAGTAGACTTCTTGAAGGATGAGCAGATCACCACTGCTTTGACAACAAAGGCCATCACACTCCTCATCAATGGCGGATCACAAGAAGCTCAACATCTCGCAGCATACTACCCTGTTCCAGTCTTACCCGCCTTCATCATAATAAATAATGGCCAACTTGCCCTTGATCTTCGAGCTGGAGAAGAAAAAAATGAGTTCAAAGCTGCAATCTTGAGGGTTTTGACCTCCAGATCGCCTCAGCCTCAACATACAACTTTCTCGCCAACACCTGCCTCAGACCCATCCATAACACAACACACCTTAGATCAAACTGTTCCTTGGGCTCCAACACTTGCTACAAGGTCATCTTCAGCTCAATTCTCCTCAGATGAGCCTGACACGTCGCATGAAACCGGTAGCCTTGGCCCAGCTTCTCCACCTCCTTCACTTCAGTCGACCACGCTCAACTCTGACCCTAACAATTCGCCGTCCGCAGCTCGCAACACAGCCGATCACGTAAACATGCCCCCATCACGCAACCAAAACGTGGACCCCACAGCCGCTGTTCCCTCAAATGCGATTCAGTCCACGGCACCTTCTTCAGCCTCTCCTGGCGGCCAGCCCTCCCAAACCGTGCAGAACTTACTTGCGGATCGCCGTCGTAGACTGGAAATAGACAAAAAGGAAAAGGATGCTGCTGAGAAGTCAGAGCGGAAAGCCAAAGCAGAGGCTCGAAAAGAAGCTATGGTTGTCGCTCCGGACTCGGCTAAGGCTAATCAAGCTACGTATGCAGCACAGCAGAGGAAACGACAACAGGAAGCGAAGCTGGAACGCGAGAGAATCTTGAGGCAGATCGAGCACGACAAAGCTGAGCGTAAGGAGAAAGAAGAGCGTCGCAGAGCAATCGCCAAGGCAGAATCAGAAGGGACTGATGGGGCTGGTGGACTTGTTGACCAGCAGTTGGCGAGTGAAGTCAACTTTTCGAAACCAACCAGATCTAAAGAATGCGCCGTACAAGTTCGGTTATTTGACGGAAGCACAGTTCGGAGCAGATTCCCTTCTGATCAGACACTGCGAGGGAATGTCCGGCCCTGGATAGATCAACAAAAGATTGACGACGTTCCCTACACATTTAAGCAAGTTTTGACGCCAATGCCAAACCAGACGTTGTCTATTTCAGAAGAGGAAGACAGCTTGCAGTCTCTTGGACTTACTCCTAGTGCCACTCTTGTCATAGTTCCAGTCCAGGGCTATACAGCTGCTTACAGCGGTGGGCAAAGTATCGTTTCGAAAGGGGCCTCAGCTGGTTACAACGTAGTATCTGCCGGTGCTGGTGCTATTACCGGAGCCCTTGGAACACTCCTAGGACTCGGGCGGGCAACGGCCCATGATGCTACAATGCAAGGGAACCACGAAGCGGGCGCAGGGACAGGATCGGGTGTCAACATTCGCACTTTACGAGATGAGCGAGACGACCAAGACAATCACCAGCTATACAATGGCAATCAGGTAATGTGCCCTAGTGGCTATACACTTGAACTGGCACTAATCTTCATAGTTGAACTTTGAGCCACAACGAGATTCAAGGGACAAAGACGAATGACGGGATGACGAAAGCTTGCATATTACACAAATGCAATTAGCGAGGCGACATAGGTAGTTTGATTGTGCAATCAGTTCAGTGGGGAGAAATCAAGCCACAGTGGCATGTCTTGTATGCAATTCCATCCCAAACTAAGTTTCGTTCCCAAGACAACTGCCCTTGAGATTCGATAAATTCAGTGGCTCTATGTTGATGACAGAACGAGCTTTAAGTACTTTGCCCATGAAGCGTATTGAACGGAGATCGCGAGAGCCTTCGGCTCTGACCGCTTCGTGAAATCGTGTATGTCATGATATCAACATGACCACACCGTGGATTATGCTGCAAACCGTCAAATGCCCGAACGCGCATTGAGGAGCGATATACAACTATTGCAAAACGGATATGTAATGAGATGGCTGTTCGGTGATAAGAAGCAGAGAACATCGCGTAGGAGTGATGATTGACAAGCCAGGCCATTATTAATATCCAAAAGTGACATTAATCTTCGCTCAAAGTCTCTACTGCAGTTCGTCGTTGCCCTCTCCAGATCAACAGTCTGATTCACCTGTACCGCACTTTCCTAAGATAGGGCTTCATGGTTTTGGTACGCAGCAAATGAACGAGCAGAGAGATATACTGTGTTAGCTGCTTAAAGGGTCTTAGTTGATACCTACTGTGACCTTTTAGGCACAGACTGGGTAAATCTGATAAGTGGACCATCACATCAGAGCTTTCGTGGATTGGTAGTGCTGGCAACGATTGTAAGATACGTATACAAGGCATATGGAGAGATTTTAACGATAGCATCCCAATCAGTGTGAATAGAGCGAGGTTGTTTGCCGAGAGAGTCTATAGGTAAAAGGAGCGGGAAATGGCTCCCAAAGTAATGAAACGCTATGCTCGCTGGAAGGCCCGCCAACGACTTGCAGCTTAAGGAAGAATTCGACTCCTATGATGATGCAGACGCCAATTCGTTCCATCCTCGCCGTCCTAGGTAGCGATTGCTTAGTCTACCCTCTCTAGTACTGACTGGCCGCTTGCTGGCAAGCTTTCTGTACAACGTATCAGCATCAGTCCCAGGACTAAGATCTCTCATGTGGCAATCACCAGTTGATCCAAATACCAGCCACAGATCTGCATGTTGCCCTGATTCTCGTCAAGACATTTGGTGAAGCTTTTCGCATCCGTCTCACAGCTTCGAGGACCCCAGGCAATGCTCTGAGAACTGCTCTCGTTGGCCTGGCTAGCGACAGCGTTGTCTGCTTGTTGTTGCTCAGTGGGGGCGCTAGACCCTCCAAACATTCCTCCAATGGCGTGGCCGATACTTGAGCCTACTGCCACACCACTATCATAATATCAGCGTTGTGATCCATAATAATATCATCATTAAGGTCATAATAACCTGACAGTTGAAAAGGGCAGAGAGATGAACGACAAGAACGGGTCAAGCTTACGCGGCTGTAGAGGCCATCTGTCCGAAGAGCCCAGGACTCTTACCCTGCTGAGTGGGAGCACCGGATTGCTGGGCGTGGGCTGGAGGGTGAGCTGCTGTGCTGGCACCTCGTGAAGATTGTTGAGAGGGTGTAGCAGCAGGCCTAGCTGGAGCAGCAGCAGGTCGAGAAGGCGCAGAAGGGCGGCCACGGCCACCGCTACCTCCACGAGAGCGAGGCATTTTCTAATTTCTGATTGATTGAGAAAGTTGGTGGGTCGAGATTGCCAGTGATATTGGATGTGAATTTTTAGAACGAAGGGGGAAGAAGCTAGAAACGCGATGGCAAAGTCCCTGTTACCGGAAAATGCACTAGCCAAATTTACGAACTTTTCGATACGAGTTTACAAGAATTAAATAATATACAGTGCAAATTAATTCTGTCCGTCCAAACATTGTTTGCCGACGATGACACTTTTGTTGCCGGATTTGTTGATATGTATAGACAATGAGTGACTACCGCCGTGTCCAACGCAGACATCCAGTATGCTATTACTTGGCGCTCCACGTTCCAGGCGGTCGATATCTGCCCAACTCCATGAATTCAAGTAGTCCTGAGACAGAAGGGCTCCAGATTTGGCAGCAAGTCGACCTTCAAAATTCTTAGGTGAGAATGTCTGTTCGTCAGAGTCGCCGTACACATAATTTCGAGGTAATCGTACCGACGTCTTCACAATTGATCTTTGCCCTCTCATCGTGCCACGAGGTAATTACCAAGCTAGGTATTGTGCTAAGTTTCGTTGCCATCGGCAAGGGCCATTGTGGCCAGGTACGACGTGTTGAAGCCAAGCCCGTGTGTGATTAGGTCCTCAGTCTCCATCCTGCATTCCCTCTTCTTGCTCAATTTGTTCTTGTTCTTGTTCTTGTTCTTCTGCTTTTGAGTCGCCATTCGTTGGATCTATCTTTGACGCCTTTCCAGAGCTAGGATTCAACTCATGTTTAGTCCTTGTTTTTGTCCCATCCTCGCTCTCCCTTCTATCGTTTATGCTCTGCACTTTCATCCTCTTCAAACGTGGTCCCTCAGAAGACTCCAGATGCTCTGTGTCGGTGTTGGGGTCGTCACTTGAGGAGACGGCTCTTGACCCATTTCCTGGGTCGCTGCTGAATTTCTGTTTCTTAGGAAACCGTTCAAATCTGGTATGAGTGGCTGCGCTTTCCTTTTTGCTTTGCTTTGCCAAATCGAGGTCAAATCTCTTATTCCCAGCCTAACGTTGAAGTCAGCACTTACAAAGTCTATTGCTCAGCGAGTGCGGCTAACCAGTGCATTTTTGATGAAGCGGCCCGCAGCTGCCTTGTCCAGTGTCACATTCTGTCTGGTTTCCGCTGACTCCGCAGCCTTGATCTTCTCGAAGTAGTGTTTGACCCGGGTCAACTCTCGAAAGACTGGATGTTCTTTGGAATTGACACCATTGAGTCGGAGATAGGCTATGACGATTAGCCTCAAGAAACTGTTTTGCTCCTGCAGACGTACAGAACAATATGGACTCAATAGCATAGGTAACAAGGACATAAAGCTGCGCTTTGTCCAAGAGAGGTAACTTCCCAGCGGTATCTGATACAGCGCTTTTGAGTAGAGGCTCGAGCGCCTCTTCGAGGTCATCAATGTTATCGTCTAACGATTTGATCAACGGTACGAGATCTATAGCTTCCATATTGATCGTTCATTGAGTTGACATTTGATAGTCACAAATGTAGTGTGCCAGGTGCCTAATATTTATGAGATAGGAAGTACGCTTAACTGCTTAAGCCCGTAAGCGCGACGTCTAGCGTACTTAATATTTAGTACCTCCCTTAGCGAATAGATATAGCTTTATCTAAAAGAGAAATTATTATTAATATTAATATACTCGTACTATTTAGAAGTAAGCTATCTCGCTTAATAGCGCCGAGAGAGTTAATTAATTAAACTACTTAGTTTATCGCGAAAATCGTAGTTTGATTAGTTAATTCTCTCGGCGCTATTAAGCGAGATAGCTTAATTCTAAATAATACGAGTATATAACGAGTTTAGATTTATAAATTAAATTTATAATCTATTTTTTTAATTAGAACTATTAAGTAAATTTAATAAGCGAACTTTAAAAGCGATATTTAAACTTCTTATTTTTAAATAATTATAAGATTAAATCTTATAATTCTTTTAGCGTTAGAAAGCGTAAACTATACTTTATAATTTAAAAAAAAATATCAAAATTTTAATAGAAAATAAAAAAGTTATTTTATTTATAAATAATATATATTTATTTTTTTAATAAGAGAGCTCGAAAGAGCTAGCGAGCTAACTTAAATAGTCTAGTTAGAAGAGATAATAACCTCGAATTTATAATTAACTATATATATAAATTTAAGATTTTTAAGCTTAGTTTTATCTTATTCTTTTATTAGTATACGAGTAAAGATTTATAAATTAAATTTATAATCTTTTTTTTTGATCGGGGGGCTGTCGAGTAAATTTTGATGAGCGATCTTTGATAAGTGATATCTGAATTTCTTATCTTTAAATATTTATAAGACTAAATTTAGTAATTCTTTTTTTATCTAAAAGCCTATATTATACTCTATAATTTAAATAAAAAAATTTAAATATTTAATAGAAAATAAAAAGGTTATTCTAAAATTAAATAATATATATCTATTTTTTTTTAATTAGGGCTATTCGGCTATCGAGCGAACTCTAATAAGCGATATTTAAATTTCTTACACTTTAATAATTATAAGATTAAATTTTAAAATTCTTAAAAATTCGAAAAGCGTAGATTACGCTTTAAAATTTAAAATTTAAAATCTTAAAAAGTTAATAGAAAATAAAAAAGTTTTTTTATATATTAATAATATATACCTATTTTTTTTAATAATTACGAATATTAATTTATTTATTCGCGATATCTAATTAAAAAGCGTAGATCTAATAAATTAATAATTAATTATATATATAAATTTAAGATTTTCTAATTTAATTCTATCTTATTCTATTATATATACTAATAATAGAATAAGATAGAATTAAATTAGAAAATCTTAAATTTATATATATAGCTAATTATAGATTCGAGTTCGCTACGCTTTTTAATTAGATATTACGAGTAAATAAATTAGCGTTCGCAATTATTAAAATCTCGCCCTTCTACGCCTCCCTTATTAAAAAAATAGATATATATTATTAATATATAGAATAACTTTTTTATTTTCTATTAAAATTTTGAGATTCTTTTTTTAAATTTTAAAGCGCTGTTTGTGCTTTTCGAATTTTTAAGAATTTTGAAATTTAGTCTTATAATTATTAAAGCGTAAGGAATTCAAATATCGCTTATTAAAGTTCGCTTATTAAAGATCGCTTATCTACTTACTCGATAGCTCTAATTAAAAAAATGATTATGAATTTAATTTATAAATCTTTACTCGTATATATTAATAGAATAAGATAGAGCTAAGTTAAAAAATCTTAAATATTAGTATATATAAAAGAATAAGATAGAATTAAGCTTAAAAATCTTAAATTTATATATATAGTTAATTATTAATTTAGATTTACTACGCTCTTTAATTAAATCGACTAAGTTATCGCGAATAAATAAATTAGCATCCGTAATTATTAAAATCTCGCCCTCTTATACCTCTCTTATTAAAAAAAGAGATGTATATTATTAACACATAGAATTACTTCTTTGTTTTCTATTAAATTTTTAAGATTCTTTTTTTAAATTTTAAAGCGCTATTTGTGCTTTCCGAATTTTTAAGAATTTTGAAATTTAGTCTTATAATTATTAAAGCGCAAGGAATTCAAATATCGCTCATCAAAGTTCGCTCACCAAAGATCGCTTATCAAAGATCGCTTATCTACTTACTCGATAGCTCTAATTAAAAAAATAATTATAAATTTGATTTATAAATCTTTACTCGTATATATATAGTTAATTATAAATTTAATAGATTTATACTTTTTAATTAGATATTATAGATAAATAAATTAATATTTATAATTATTAAAATCTCTTCTTCTACTTTTAATCTTTTAATAACTTTACTATCTTCTATTAAAATTTAATAATTTTTTTTTTAATTATAGATCGCAAGTTACGCTTTCTAAAAATAAAAAAATCTTAAAGTTTAATCTTATAGTTCTTTAAAGATAAAAAATTTAAATATCGCTTATTAAATATCGCTTATTAAATTTACTCGATAGCTCTAATTTAAAAAAGAATTATAAATTTAATTTATAAAGTATTTACTTATATATAATAGAACGAGTAAAGGTTTATAAATTAAATTTATAATCGTTTTTTTTAATTAGAGTTATTAAGTAAATTTAATAAGTAATCTTTAATAAGCGATATTTAAATTTCTTATCTTTAAAGAACTATAAGATTAAATTTTAAGATTCTTTTTTTATTTAAAAGTCTATTATACGTTCTATAATTTAAAAGAAAAACCTCGAAATTTAAATAGAAAATAAAAATGTTATTCTAAAATTAAATAAAATATATCTATTTTTTAATTAGGGCTATCGAACTTTAATAAGCGATATCTAAGATTCTTACTCTTTAATAATTATAAGATTGAATTTTAAAAATTTTACGTTATTAAAGAGCGCAATATTCGCTCTATAATTTGAAAAAATAATTTAAAAATTTTAATAGAAAATAGTAAAGTTATTAAAGGGCTAAAAGTAGAGTAAGAGATTTTAATAGTTACGAATACTAATTGGATTATTCGCGATAACTTAGCCGATCTAGTTAAAAGGCGTAATAACTTTAAAATTATAATTAACTATATATATATATATTTAAGATTTTCTAATTTAGCTCTATTTTATTCTATTAATATATATAAAGTAAAGATCTATTAATTAAATTTATTTTTTTTTATATAAATTTTATTAAAATATAAGATAGAATACTTAGTTATATTAACTAGAGAGTTCTATAAAAGAAAAGAGCGACTAGATATAAATATACTAAGATATATTATATAATTATATTATATAATTATTAAGACGCTAAAAGTTATATAATTTAAATTCTAATACTCTTCTTTATATATATTCTTTTATATATAAAATTCGATAGATATAAAGTTTAATACTAATAATATTAAAATTAAATAAATAAAATAAAAATAATTTAATTAATTTTCGCTAGAGTTTAGCGTTAAATAATTAAAATAAAATTTAAATTAAATAATTAAAGTAAAGTTTAAATTAAATAATTAAAGTAAATTTAATATTAAATAATTAAAGTAAAGTTTAAATTAAATAATTAAAGTAAGTTTAATATTAAATAATTAAAGTAAAATTTAAGCTAAATAATTAAAGTAAATTTAATTATAATAATTAAAGTAAAGTTTATATTAAATAATTAAAATAAATTTTAACGTTAAATAATTAAAATAAAGTTTAAGCTAAATAGTTAAAGTAAGTTTAGCGCCGAGTAATTAAAGTAAAAAGTCGAAATCTAAAAACGACTATATTAAACCCCAAATTTCACTTTTTATTAAAAAACGATTTTTTAAAAATTTTATTTTTAGATTATCTAATATATATTAAAAATCGATTAATTTAAAATTAGAGGATATTCGTAAAGATAACTAAATAAAATAATTAAAAGAAATTCTTTATTTTATATATTACGATTAACTATAAAACTTTTATAAGATTATTTTAGATATTTAATTCTTTAATAATAATAGCTAATAATAATAGTAATATAAATAAAAATATTTTAAAAGAGCTTTAAAGATTTAATAGCGATAGCGATAATAGCGTTAAAGAAATAGCTATTTTAATATAAAATAGCGAGTTTATAGAGTATTAAGTTTAAGGTTTAATAGGCGATTTAAATAAATTATTTAAACTATAAAAATTAATAAAATAACTTCTCTAAAGTTAAAGTTAGCTTTTTTAAATAAATAATATTATAAATAATATTTTAACTTAATTAATATATAAAATTTCTTAAATTTATTCTTAAATAGTATCTTAATAAGTTTATTAATTATTTATTATTTAATAAAAATATATTTAAAAATAACGATATTAGTAATAACTTATTTTTATATATAATAATATTAAATATTAATATATTTAATATATATATAAAATTAAGAATTTTTAATAAGAGTTATAATATTTTAATTATTATAATAAATAATAATAATTTATATATACTTAGCGCTAAAATTAAATTAATTAAAAAATTTATATAATTAAATTATCTTTTTAATAATCTATATCTAATTAATATATTTAATCTTATAAAAGAATAGCGTTATAATAAATTATTATTTTAATAATTAATTAATAATAATATTATTTATATTAAAGATATAATTAGAGATAAAATATTAAATATTTTAATTATTTATTTAATTTATATTTATATAATTAATAAATAATTTTAAATCTTCTTTAAATATTAATTATTAGTTTTTAATATTATTTAGATATTAAAAAATACGCTTAATAATCTTTTAATAGAATTTATTAAGATTTAAAATATATTTAAAGATTATTAAAATAGTAAATATAATATTAAATTAAATATTTAATATTATATATATAAATAATTTTATAATTAATTAATAAATATAGCGAGATTAATTAATAGAGATAAAATTATTTTTAATAATATAAAATTTATTATTATTAATAAAAGTA